CAGATTCAGGCTCTCGAAGCATGGCAAAGGCCAGGGGGTATTGTGGCTATCGTGAACATCTTTTTGGTTATCAACCAAATTAGTTCATTTTCAAAATATAAATAAGCCTGTGAACTTAGAACAATGAAGTTGCAGTAAAAAGCTAAAAATGTTGACACTTCAGTTTTAGTACCTCTAGAAGGTGTCGTATTATTCTGTGTAAAGGTAATTATGGGCTTGCGCCAAAAGCTGCTCTATGCTGCTCCGCACTGTCCCCTGGATCCTGGCACAATGCCTTGGGATAAGTCGGACTTGGTAGTGTGTGGGTTTAGTGAGCTCTCACTTCAAACCTTCTCTCAGGCAGCCGCATGGTGCAGTGGTTGAGCACCGTTCCCTGGGAGCCATGTCCACATGGCTGGCTGCAACTCAAATCCCAGCGCCAGCAGCTTGAAAAACTTGAACAGGAGCGTGGAGGAGATAAAGAAGTGGAGGAAAACATTATTGCTGTTTAACAATGCCCTGCTGTGGGAGGGGGTGCTTTCTCACTCTCCCTCTCTATCTCTCTGCCTCTGTCTCTTTCTCTCTCTGGCAAGCACATACCCTCTGGCAATTAAAAAACAAACAAACAAACAAACTTCTTTCTGTCATTGGCAGCAAAAAATTTTAGGTGCATGTTACCCAGAGGAAGAACTAGGTACTGGACAAACACATTCTTCAAAAAATAAATCTCTAAACTATCACTTAGCAAAGTCTAAATTTTTTATGCTGTGGGAGAACACATAATGTAAAAATAGAAAGGCTAAAAACTTTCCAGCTCACAGCCCTCTGAACTTCGTTTCCATCCAGTGTACTAACTCCCATATTTCCCCCTCGCCCACAGCCAGAGTGAGGTTAGCGTAGTTTATGAAGATTAAGCTTCAAGCCCCTTCTCTGTTCCAAGTCTTGTGAGTTTAGAAGTTGTCGCAGGACGGGAAGAGAGGTTAGGTTATCAACCAGGACAAATTTCTACACAGCATTTCTGATAAGGCACCTAGAAAAGACCTCAGAAGAAAGAACGAGAACCTGCCATGCTGTACTGATCTGTTGTGATTTACTTCTTCATTCTGAATAAATACCCACTTTCATACCCAATTTTAGAGAGAGCTCTCTCCCGCCCTGTGCCCAACACCCCTGCCCCCAAATGTAACTCGTTCTAAGTCCCATAGAAACTGGACCTGCCTCTGCGGCAGCAAGTGGAAGACAGCCCACAGAGCATCGCCGGCCAGCTGTGTGGAAAAGCACGAATTTCATGAAAGGACGCCCTGGACTCACCTCCCACTCGCCCTCCCATGCTTTCTCCCACCCACTCACACATCACACCCCTTGCTCATCCATTCTCTGTCACAATCACCCACTTTCCTTCCTGGTTTTCCACCCACCATCCTCTACAGACTTGCTAATCCCCTTTCCCATCAATCCTTTCTGCCCTGCCTTCCTGACAGCATCTCCATGGGGATGAAGAGGAGGGAGGCGCTTCAGGGAGAGAAGGGAAGTAGAAGCAGAATTCCCGCGCCATGGCTGTAGCAGATGTTCTAGTGGTGGCTGGGGGAGGGGGCGGTGGTGGTGGCAGGGATGTGAGGTCAGAGAAGATCTGGACTAGTGTGAAACTGCTCCAAAATACGTGTTACCTGAAGGGCTTCACAGATTATGGTGGTCATTGAATGCAATCACTGAAGGGCAAAGAGGAAGAAATCTCATCACCCTAAGTGGCACTATGAGGCAACGGCAAGAAAATGTACCAGAATCATAATTTTAAAAAAGTACACACTGTGAGCACGCCTACACATCACGTGAGCACACGTGGAAATGTAGGAACAGGGTAGTTACGGGGCTGTAGTGTCTTCCTAAAATTTCTCAGAGGTTGTGTTTTCATTTTTTGTTTAAATAAGCTTTCCCATGATGGGCTGGGCATCCGTGCTTGGCCTGTTCCAGGCTCTTCGTCTTGTACCCCCATTTAAAGTTGGCACTGTTTCACCACGTGATTGGAAAAACTGAGGCAATGTGGAACACAGAAATAATGCGCTCTTCTAAGAAATGACCTTCTGGCCAGCAGGTGGCATGGTGGTTAAGGCACTGGATCCCACATGGCTGACCTTAGTTTCAGTCCTAGACCTGGCAGCTTGAAAAACATGCTAGGGGTGTGTGTGTGTGTGTGTGTGTGTGTGTGCACGTGCGCACACGCGCGTGCGCACGCATGCCCAAAATCCCAAGGGGAGAATGGAGAAGAAAGGATTGCAGCATGGCCATCTCCCCGTGGGGGTGATTTCTCACTTTCCCTCTCTCTCTATTTCCCTGTCTCTCTTTAATAGATGTACACACCCTACAGCAAACTAAACAAAGAAAAAAAAAAAAAAAAAGACCTTCTAATGTTGAGACCTAACCAAGAGCTGCTATTTTTAAATAATCAGTGAAAGACATGAGGATGATAGGCATGTTAGTGGCATTTGCCAGTCTCTGTTCCATGAGCATTCCGAATATGGCAGCTCAGAGTTACAACAGGTCACCAGTGAATTCAAACTGGGGACAGTTGCACAGGGGTGCACCTTGGCGATGCATTTGCACCGAGTAAACACTACAGGCATGGAAAAAACTCAGGGCAACAGGTAAAATGTAATAAAGCCATTCATAAGTGAAGGGCAGTTGTTGCCTCTGTTTTTAATATGGCTTACTTAACTGTAAGTTTTAAAATATTTTTAGTAATGACTCAGATGGCATAATGATTGTGTCACTGGACTCCCACATGGCCAACCACGGTTGAAGTCCTAAACCTGGTGACTTGAAACTCATGCCAGACATCTGTGCATGTGTGCCCAAATGCCTGAGAGAAGAATGGAAGAGAAGGAATTATGTCATGACTATCCCCTGGGGGGTGATTTCTCACTTTCTGTCTCTCTTTCACTCCAGCAAGTCTATGTGCCCTATAGCAAAAATCTCTAAAAAATGTTTAAAATAAAATAAATACTGGCTATACTAAAGTAGTTCACAAAATTCTTGAAACTTTAACAAGCAGTGCCTATAAGCTGGTAGGAGACAGCCTAACTACACCAACCCAATCCAATCAAAATCTTTGGGCATGCAGACATTGATGTTGCTTAAAGGTCTCCAGATGATTCTAATCTGCAGCCAGGACTGAAAAACCACTGCTTAGGAGCCTGAGGGTGGAGCTGATGTCTCAGTTCCTTGGGACATGGAGGAGGAACCTATTCTTTGAGAGACACAGGAGTTTCTAACGGGGACAACTGAGGAGGGAAGAGGCAGAAGAGTGGAGTGAAGTGCTTCACCAGAAAGAAGCAGAGAGAAGGAGAATGTCTGGGATGAGGGACAGAGAATTCTGGAGACTAGGGTGACCAACCGCTCCAGTTTGCTGGATGTGGGATTTTCACTGGAGCCACTGGATAGTTTTACCTTAACTAACTTAAATTTAAATAGCCATAGTGGCTACCATGTTGGACAGCAGTGTCTAAGGGAATACAACGTGGCTTCTCCGTGTACATAAATGTTCTCTCTTATTTGTTGGTAAGGAAATAATTCAATGCATTTTAAATGGAAAACTAAGTGAGAGTCACAATTCAGACCCTGATGTGTTGTACTTGCTATCAAGTCTACGTAAACAGATGGCAGAAATGCCTCAGAAGAAAGCAGTGAACCTGTGAGGGAAAAAGCACTCTCTCCCCACCAGGACACGCTACAGTTCATATGATGGCTGCTGATACACATGAGTGAGGATGAAAGGCATGAAGGCAGCCACGCTCCTCACCTGGTTTTTCTTATAATCAATGGCAAGTACTTTGCAAAATGGCAGAATAGATTTGTAATCAAGTCAAAAACCTGGAAAGAACAGAGCTACTGAACTATGCAAACCCTTGACCTTCATGTCTTGAGCATCACTTCTTAAACCCTTAGCTGACTAGCACAGACTATGAGAAATAAATTATGTATTTAATATGGAATTACATTTCCTGAAAGGTCAATTTTTACATGGTAATGTTCTCATTCAAAATACACATAGGAATGTCATTAAAGAAGAAACAAGTTAGAGATAGAAAAGATATGATTTATAACGTTATTTGCAAAATAAAACTAAATATTAAGAAAGAGGAATTGTAGAGATGACAGCTGACCAAAATACAATTAACTTTGCGTATTATCACATGCCTGTAAAAATAACCTACAGGAAATAAAGAGCTGTGGTAACAGCAGCTGCTGAGATGGAAAAGGGCCTTACTTTTAATGACTCAACTTTTACAGTCTCCTGAAATGAGGGATATGTAATTATAGCATGATATTATGTGGCAGACAACATGGATATTCTATCATGAAAAACAAGTGTTTAAATTCCCTAAGCTTTCGGTCCCTACCACTCTTTAGCCAAGTATAAGTTATTCTTTCCTCTTCTGAAGATGCAATAGCAGAGTAGTCTGGGGCATTTAGCCATCTCATCCTGACAAAGAACCAATTCACCTTTTTTCCCAGTATATTTTTAAGTATCGATTTTACCAAGGGAGCTCAGACGTGTGTCACACTTATCCAATACAGATCCTTTTCCCTGGAAATGTAGTTGAACATCAATCAGTCACCTGGCCTTTCACCTCCAGTTCCTATTGTCACTGTCTGTCAACTATTAGAGCTTGTTCATTTCTCCAAATACAGTATTTTTAGAAACTGCGATGCACAGTGACTCCTGTGAAATATGTATATTTTTTTGGAAAAGTATGCAAATATTCACATGATTATGTTTCTTCATTAAAATTACCTTTCTGTGTTGAAAACTAGTTAAAGTTCATAAATCCACATCATGAAAGTCTCAAGTTATTTTAAAACCTATTTCCTTAATTGTAGTATTAACGCTTGTAAGCCAGACTAGTAGGTGAAAGACAGCAGAAAAAGAAATTCAAGTTGAGTGGCATTTTTATAAGGGCCTTCAAATGGGGCAGTGTTTTCCTCTCGGGCTAAATCCAATGAGAGTCACAGAGGACACCCACCTGGAGCCGTAGGCCTCCTGGGGTACGAATGTTCGCTGGAAGGCTTTTAATGTGTTGGTAGACATAAGAGGAGAATTGCTCCTGTTCAGCCTGTAATTGGGGGCCAAGTTTAGAGAGATGACCTCTGTTGCTTTTGAGAGCTGTCTGCAGTTCGTCAATCAGCCTGCTCACCTGAAGGGGTTAAATTACAAGAGTTGTTAGCAAGAAGTAATTGTTGATGTCACACCTATTAGATTTTGAGTACCCGGCTTGATGGGGGGAGAAAATGTCCTCCATACAAGAATTTGAGTACCAATCTAGCCTCACGTAAAGAGAGTAGAAGATATGTATTTGTTCCTCAGCGAGTTTTATTTATGAAAAAATGTCTAACCTTTTCAGTAAAGCGGGATGGCTAGCCATTTACAATTACTGAATGGAAACTCTCTCTGGATGTGAAAAGAAATACATGATCTGACAAGTTTGTAAAAGATTTTTAAACTGCTGAACAGGATAAAACCTTCCTAGGACTTAGAACAATCAAATACATGTATCCTACTGCCATATTTCATTTTATTACCATATGTACTTTCTTTCTTTAATTTAGAATGGTTTATTTTACCAGGTGTTACATTTCAATTTTTAAATATACGTAAATTAATTAACATTTTATTGACCTTTAAAAATAAACTTATCTTCCTCCAAATATTCTAACATTTTCCAAATTTAATAAATGCAATTTTCCTTCTTTTTTTTTTTTTGGAGGGGTTTTTGTTATAGGGTAGGGCGGCTGCCCGGAAGAAAAAAGGAGAGATAGAAAGTGAGAAAACACCTCCCCAGGGGAGATGGCCACACCGCAATCCCTTCTCCTCCATTCTCCTCTCAGGATCTTGAGCATGCACGCACACGCACCCAGTGTGAGTTTAAGCCACCCGGTATGGGCCTCGAACCGCAGTCAGCTACATGGGAGTTCAGTGATATAACCATTACACTAACTGCTGGTCCCATAAATGCAATTTTCTAAAGTATCAATATTTTAAAGAAAACTCTCTGTTCTAGATAATATTTTAAATATATATGAATAGAAAAATAAAGCATAAATTTTTTTCAGAAGCAGCAAAAGCTTAGAAACATATATCCTTGATTTTTACATTTCTAGACTTCTACTAATCAGTATATTTAAGACAGATATATGAACTTTACTTATGGATCATTAATAATACATGCTAAGGACTTAATAAATAGTAAATTAATGTATAAATCATTACCATTCTTTAACTCTTCACTATATAAAATTATATTTTTAATTCACTAGATTTCTGGCATAAACACTGGTGGAGATGTAATAGTGACCGTGAGAGATTAAGAACAGAAATCCACTTCATCTGTGATTCTTTAAGGCAAATCAGACTCGCTTAGAATTATGAGTGACTCAGAAAAGAGGATGAACTTTAAAATCTTAGGTTAAAATCTTGGCTTTCCCACATAGTCATCCATAAATGAAGAATAATACTGGACTTACCTCATTGGAAATTAAAAGATATTAGAGAAAGGATAACATAAAGTCTAATTTATAGTAGTTGTCTGAAGTACTGGTATATTACTTGGTGTTTCCTTATTTAAATCTATAGCTGTGTTCTGCATATTGAGTTTTAATTGTTCTCCTCTTGATCCGCCGTCCCTACCCTCACCACTCTTTCACAGGAGGAAGACAGAAATTCTAAACTATCTGCTGCCTAGCTCCTCTAGCTCACATCAATAGCCACAGATAAAAATGGAAAACCCGCGTCTAGGCATCTGCCAGGTACAGACAGCCATCTTTGTTCTACCTCTCACTCAGACACGTATCTGCCCCAGCCTGAATGCCAACGCTGACGTCCAGGTACAGACAGCCATCTTTGTTCTGCCTCTCTCTCGGACACCGTATCTGCCCCAGCCTGAATGCCAATGCTGACATTAAACTTTGTTTTCTGTCTCTTTCACAAAGCTTTCAGAAAAGTCAGTGAAGTCATGTATATTATCATTCAAGAAGGCTCGACTAGTTTACTCTCTATACTACCTAGTTAGTTCAAGGTGGTGTGTGTGTGTGTGTGTGTGTGTGTGTGTATAAAATTTAAATTAACTTTCACCAAAAACTTTATAAGCATTATGCGCACACAAATAGGTAACTTAAAACAATTCCTACTTTTCTTTGGTCTCCCATTCACTCTTATTTGTCCCTGTGTGATCAGTCATTTACCCCATAAGCAACCTTTTCTTCTACGCAAAGGATTGGCAGAGTAAATATTTCGGCTTTGTGCACCATAAGGTCTCTGTGAAAACTATGCAACCCAGCTATTATATTTAAAAATTGGCCACAGACAATATGTGGGGTCTCCAAAAAGTTTGTACAAAATGCATGTATGAAAACACTGTGCCTGAATTTCAAAAAGTTTGCACCAAAATAAATTTGTACTTTAATTTTGTTTTCTGAATTTTCTGAATTTTCTGAAGTCCCTGCATATGGAAATGAATGAGCGTGGCTGTGTTCTAACAACAGCGTGGACTGGGTTTGGCTCCAAGACTATGGTTTGTAGGGCCCTCTTCTAAATCTGGACATCTATTTCCTGTCCTTCCTTCCCTTTCTTAGAAGTTGTACTATGACCCATGCCAGCATCTTCCTATCCCCTCCCCTAACCTTGAACACCAAAACCCTCACTGAGTGGTCTTCCTGCCCCAGTCTGTTCCCTCTCACCACCACCACCACCACCCCGCCCCCGCCAATCACACTGATTAACCTACCTACAACAGCATTGCCAGCACTGTAAGGGGAGCAAGAAGTGAGTGAGTTTGGAAGCCCAGTCTAGCAAACCGTGGTTAATGCCTTGCTTCCTAAGTCTTTGCAACACTATGTAAGTCATCTAGTGGTTACTAATAGGCAGCCCTTAACTGCAAGCTGAAATCAAAGTCCATGGAAATGCATCTTATCCATTCCCAAGGAAGCCTCTCATGCTCCACCAGTGGAACTGCAACCCAGCTGGGAATCATGGGCACAGATGGTGGAGGCGGCACAGAGAGGTCAGGAGGAGTCCTGGGGGAGACGCAAAGAGAGAAACAAAATAATATAAAGGAGAGAAAAATGAAAAAAAGGAAAAGAAAGGGAAGAAATTAAAAGAAGAAGGTGCCGGAGGAAAAAATGAGCAGACAGACCGGCAGATGGCATGGTAGTTAAGGGAGTTGGATTCCCACATGACTGGCTGTGGTTCGAGTCCTGGACCTGGCGGCTTTCTTTCTCACTTTCTCTCTCTCTCTCACTCTCACTCTGTCCCTATTTGGTCAAATTAAAACAAATAAATAAAGTCAAATTAAAATCATTAATTTTTAAAAAATGAGCAGCAAAGAAAGAGAAGATCAGAACGTGAAAGGAGAAGCATCCTGTGTACAGGCTATGAGATCCAAGGGCAGACATCACCGTGCTGAGGACCCTCCCTTTTCCTGCCCTCTGGAATTGGTTTCTGTGTATTCCACAATACTGGTGATCCCATAAAATCGCTGTGACATGTAAAATAAGGAGTGACGGCTCAGGTACTATTAGTTCATGCTTTTAGCCTTGTCTCCACCATTGGATCATACTAGCCTTTGTGTATCCTCAAAAAATGATAGACAATAGCACATAATGCACCAAAGCTAAAGACTTAAATAGCCCCAGTAGCTAGCTCTTATAGTATGTAAATATAATCCAAGAGCCAAAGGCCCTAAAGAGGACTCTATTTCTGCAAAGCAGCACCCTCTCTGAAGCCATCTGCAGTGTCACGCGATTCAGGGAGATAGATACAATTTTATGTGGTCTTTAAAGCCTACACTAAGTGTCACAAAATGTACTTGTGGTCAACAGTACCACTCTCTTTAATGTCAGGTGCTGCCCCTTGTGCCACAGCGAGCCATGCACACACAGAAGGAACAGCAGACTTTGATCTGAGGATTTTTATACATGACTGGTTTTACTGTCACAGTCTATAGGTTTTTACTGATAGGGGACTTCATGTGACATCAGAAATCAACCAACCATGCAATTGGTGATGTCACTGCACTCTAAAGAACTATTGGTTAAAGTCTTAAAAGTTTCATCTGAGATACAAACCTTTATTACTTTGAAAATTTCCTCTGTCATTTTTGCTGTTTTCATTGGCTCTCCAGGACTATCTGTTAATGTATGTGAAGCTTATTTATACTAATTATCACCAATTTTTTTAATAACTAAAATTTCAAATAAGATGTCCTAGCAAAGATTAATTCTTAAACATTGGGGGAAAATACATCATGAATCCTGCCATCACGTTTTGATAATGTTTCCATTCAATTTTACCCAAACTTTGTTACTTTACATATTCATAAGGTCTTTCATCCTCAAAGTGCTACGTTTAGTTCTCAGTTATTATGATAACATATCACCCTTAAAGACAACCCTTCACGTGAAATAACTTATATACTAAAGTCAGGTGGATAACACAGTACTCCTGAATTATTTTACATAATATAATTTTTTTCCAAATCACAGATGTTGCTAAAAGGGGGAAAATGTCCTTTAAAATTCTTCATCATGAATCTTTTTTTTCCTGCAAATCCTTTTTTTCCCCCTACAAAGGCAACGTGAATAGCAGTAAAAGAAGACAAAACTTGACCTTTTGTGATCCCAGCATTAATGGGTCTGTTCATAATTCAGTCTGTGTGTGTGGGAGCACCCATGTGGAAACGTAGAGGCCTGAGAGACATAAAGCCTTTCCCTTTAAACATTATCTGACCCTATCAGTCCCATTCACAAAAGAAGGCTTACGCATGCATATGTTGAAAAGTGCACCATCTCATTGTGCGCCAGAAAGCCTACACATTCTGCTCCCCATTCTCTGTGGAAATGCAGCGCGGAAGTGACACTTGTACAGAGTTTGGAAGGACGAGTGAGCAGAGGGTAGCAGTATATGTATGTATACCCAATATTCTAGTAAGAACACAAGCGACACTCCTGAAGGAACACAGTGAGCACCTGTCTGTAACGCACGCATAGGACTTGCATCACACACAGGCAATTTGGTCACGTTTGTATGACACATACATGCAACGCCTGAGGTCAGTTAAATTCTCAAGATGATTTTAGTCAGCATAAAATACGGTTCTGCTTACGGAAGTATACGTCTTGAGGTCCAACATGTCCAGGCCGTACATTATGAACCCTGTACACTGGCTATTTACTCGTGACTCTTTGTGCGGCTCCTCATTTCTCTAGTGATGAGTTCAGCCGTCAGCCTGAATTCTATGTGGCATTGAATCCGTTCATGTTATGAAGGAGAACTCTCGAGCACTTTGCATGGACTGTTGCTTGACATCAGCACAAAGCTAGGAACATCATCCTGGCATGTAGCAGATGGGATGGTCTCAATGCCTTCAGCACTTCAACTTAAGATCGAGAAAATCTTTTTTTTTTTTTTTCTAAAGTTGACTTCTTTTTTTTTCTCTCTTCCATGAGTAAGATACAGAGAAAGAGAGAGAAAGACAGCACCCTCTACAGGTCTTAACATCATGATCTACCCACAGCTTCCAGCCAACCCCAGATCAGGGGCAAGCACATGTCTGGCATACTCAGCGAGGTCTCCAGACTTGAACTAGGAACCTTCCCATGTGAGACTGCCTTGCCGAGAATTGCCTTTTACTGCTATGCCACTATCTAGCTCCAAAAAATTTTTAATGAACAACGTATGTATTTAAGATGGAAAGGGAGCAGAGAGATGAAAATGGATATTTTTAAACTTTCTAGAATATCTGTTGTTTCAGAACCAAGAGCACAGTGGTTTTCAGGTTAAGAGCACACATTCTAGGAACAAGGACAGGAGAAGATATGGAAGCCTGTGAGTAAGGTAAGTGTCCCTTACCTTGTGAAGTGAAAGATGAGCAGGGGCAACTAGAGGAAGCCTGGCGTGTGTGCATCTCCTTCCTAGCACCTCAGCTGTACCAAAGTTGTCATCATTTTCTAGAACCTTTCCGAGTGGGAAGCATTGTGGAAGTAGATTCTGGTTTCCAGCCAAAATACTTCTACTGCTGCCTTTAGGCCTATCTGATAGTCTAACAATCACATCTGCTCTTAGGGAAGGGACAGTGGAAACCAGAGATATTCTAAATGCTTTAGCTTACCTGGCCACAGAGCTATGTTGATGGCAATGAGGGTGATGTCAACTCTGCCTGCTGAGGCAGCTCTGAGACGTGCCTCTCTGACTTCTAAATACAGAGCAGAGCCAGCCACAAGTCCTAACCACTGTGCTCTGGAAGCCATCACAGGCTTGGTACTGACGTCTGAGGGGACAAAGGCAGGTTCATCCCTGGGAGTCACAAGACTCCTCAGATGACCAACTTCGGCTTTGCCGAACCTTCTTTAGACCACACAATGGTCCGGGATTCCTCCTCCCAATCTATTACTCTCTGTCTACCTAGGGTCAGGCCTGCACGTCAGTGTCACAGATGGCTCAGCCTTGCCAGAAATTTTCTCTCATCAGCATTTCTTCTAATTAAACCCTCACACATTTCACCCCATCATGGTATCTACTTTTTGGAGAGCCTGGAATAACACACTCTAAAGTTAAAAATTAGAAATTACATGCAAATTTCCATAAACTTTATATATATATATATATATATATATATATATATATATCCTAATACATATAATCACCCAAAAGTGGCCTTCTTCCAATGCACATGCTATTACTACTCTCAGTTTTCATGAGGAATAATTATATAGTAAAACAAGTTTAAGATAAAACTACAGGCAGCAGAAGAGCAGCTAAATCTCAGATTTTATGTCTAATTTGGTTTTGAGGTGTGTATTAATGCCATATTTGTGTAAAAAAAAAAGTGGGGGGAAAGTTTGAGGTACTTTCCCTCTAAATTTTTTATTTCTCTTCTCTATCAGGATTTCACATCCTCTGTATGTAAACTTCAGCTAAAAATTGATGTTACTGACTTTTACTAACCAAGCGCTAGAACTTACACATTCAAATCAATACCATCACTTTCCAAGGGATCACATAGAAATTACCTTTATAAGCTATAAAATACATTTACAGATTAGTACACACATGTACCTGTATATACACACACATACACACACGTGCACACACACATACACACACACAAATATGTATTCTCTTTATCACATATTGATGTCTGAAGCAAATAAAAGACATTTTGAACCATTGCTGAAAAAGCAAATATGACCAAATAATACATTATTTAGGAAAACTATTAAAGTATATAGTGCTAAATAAACTAAAGATAATGATAATAAAGAAAAATACCTAATAAGCATAAGCACTATTAGATTTTCCAGAAAAGTTCATTTTTATTTGCAATGTTGTTATGAGGTAGCATTAAAATGATGTATTTAGCATAATGATCAATTTCCTGGGCCACTTCAAGTTTTCAGCTCCTTTAAAATTATTAATTTTGCATAAAATATCAAAGGAAAAGTAATTACAATGTCATTCTTTCATATTATTTTCTACTTAATTTCTGATAATAATTAGTAGTGTTATAGGTGTAATTGTAAATTATACTAATTACTCTAGAGGGACTTACTTGCATTTTCCAAAGTTTACAAGATATACGGTAGATTCATTTTATGAAAATGCAATAAAACTCTCCAATTCTGTTAAGACATTTTTCAAAGAGACAAAGAATGATATTTTCTAAGTTAGCTAACAGCATAAGTCTTTTAATATGTCAATATCCGGTGGAATGAATCAGAACTATAACTTAAACCTATACAATTGTTGTTCACTACATTTCAGAAATTATACAACGTTAGTTTTTTATGCAAATTCTCTGAGATTGTTAATCAATGTTTAAAATATAATCTTTAATTCTGGACATAGATGTTTCAAATATTAATATGGTTCCTAATATATTAATTTAATTCTCACAGGAAAATTTAATGTCATACTTGGACATCTGTTATAAAATACATGTACTAAAGATTTCATCAGAATGATTTTAAAAATACTAAAACCATAAAGCTTAGGTACATTTCTTTGCCAAAATGCCTAAAGAGAATTATATGAGAAGTGTTTTTTTTTTTAAATAATCACATTACCTTATTCCTTAAGTTGCTTAAAGATTTTATTTATTGGTAGTGGTACATGAAAATTTGGAAATTAATGTTCTTTCCTCAGAAAGATGAAATGCTTATATATTCCAGGAAACTACATGAAAATTATTTTCCATTTTTGTCTAACACCAATTTTGTATTATTATTTCATTTATGGGATATGCTGTCAATGTCCCAGCATGAGCTATGGAGAGAAGGTTTGCTTTAATAGTTCTTCATTACAATATTGCCTACAGGCTCTTATGATTAGCTCACTTAGGCTTGACATTTGTAAACTACAGTTTTCCCTTGATAAAAGATAACCTTGCTAGCATTTCTAAAATTCAGAGCAATAATTCTATTTTTAAAAAGTCAGAGAATAAAAATGAGATTTAATATTTATTTTAAAATTAACTGTAATGCTTTTCTTTTGTTGGCATATCTTATCATTTCCCGGTTCAAGTTGCGTGTGATAATTTACTAATTTAGGAAAGTTATGGGAAAATTAATTAATTTGTTATTCTTTCAAATATACAATTCTTTTTCAGGCTGCCTGTGTCAATAAAATGATTTCTAGTATTTAAGATGTTTTTCTATCATAAGTTATCAGTCAACAAGAGTTGATTTCTACAATACCCAAAATAAAAATTTATCTTAATTTTAAAATTAGTGTTCATTGTAGTTTTATAATACAGTTTACAAAGTAAGTCCCTTACTTCTTCTTGTGCCTTATGGTGTTCTTTCGCCGTCAGAGAAAGAATGCCTTTTTCTGTAATTTTCTCCTTTTGTTCATTCACGGCCAGGTTCAACTAGAAAAAAATAAAATAAAATAAATGACATGAAAATGGATACCTATTAATATCTAGTAGCAATATTTACTCAAACAACTAATTTAGCATTCTCATTGAGTGATGTGATATTTATTTTGCCAATAATGATGAAAAAAAGCCATTTAGATTAGATAAATTGAAAGTTCATTTTCATATTTAAAACATTTAACAAACTCTGACTTTTTCACTTTCTCTTTCATTGTTTTTAGGGTTACTAAATAGGACTCTCACAAGGAGGGTCCTTAGTTGCAGGCAGAAGACACTCCTGAAGCATAGCAACATTCTTTTTACACAGTTGGGCTATTTTCTATGAAAACTCTTAATTGCAAGTAGAAAATAATTTAGCTGCTGTTATGTCAGGATAAACAGTCAAGGACAGAAAAACACAAGTGTCCATTCAAATACTAGAAAGGTGCTAAATGCCTTATAATGTTCAGGACAAAGGATCATGTACCTCAGTACCTGGACAGTTACCTCCAACCCATTGCTTTTCTTTTTTTTTTTTTGGAAAGGTTTTTTGCTATAGGGTGCGTGCGCTCACCAGACAGACATAGAGACAGAAAGTAAGAAATCACCCCCCGGGGGAATGGCCAGGCTGCAATCCCTTCTCCTCCATTCTCCTCTTGGGATCTTGGGCATGCATGTACACGTACCCGGCATGAGTTTAAGCCACCAGGTCCGGGAATTTTACAAAGCTGGATAAAAATCTTCTACTAGTGGGACCAGCAGATGGCACAATGGTTACGTTGTTAGACTCCCATGTAGTCGACTATAGTTCAAATCTCAGAACCGGTGGCTTAAAACTCACACCAGGCACATGTACATGCTTGCTCAAAATCCCAAGAGGATAATGGTGGAGAAGGGATTGGAATGTGCCTATTTCCCTGAGGGGTGGGTGGGTGGGTAATTTCTTCACTTTCACTTTCTGTCTCTTTGGCAAGTACATGTACCCTATAGGAAAAAAACTATAAAAAAATTTTCTTCTACTGCTGCTCACCCATGTGTTATAAAAAGATGAATGTAGTCATTCCATATTTCCTTATAATCTCTAGAGAAATAAAATGAGAAGAAAGCAAAACTGACATAATAGCATTCGTTCAAAAGAGTGACACTAATATAAAGAGAACAGAGCCAACCTTGGCATGATAGTTAAGCCGGCTGGATCCCACATGATTGACTGTGCAGTTCAAGTCCCAGTCATGGAAGCTTGAGAAACACAGTAAGTGCAAGTGTGTACATGCTCAAAATCCTGAAAGGAGGGAAAAATAGAGGAAATAGGATTGTGGTGTGACCATTCTCCCTAGAGGGTGCTTTCTCACTTTCTGTCTCCTCCAGTGAGCACATGCACCCTCTGACAAAACTCTGTGTGTGTGCGTGTCTGTATGTATATAAAAAAAAGAACTAGAGTCTGCTGAAGAGCTTCTGAGTGGAGTGTTTGACAATCCTTACACAATAGACTTGCCATACCATATCTCCTACCGAGATGAGTAAAAATGAACACTAATCGTGTTTTTAAATATCATTTTGCTAGTATTGTGGCTTTAAGTAGGCTTCCTCAATCATGCCTGGTAAAACATGTTCGAGTTAACAGGGATCTTCATACCTTGCCTGAGGAGCCACTTCTACATTTGAGATAAGGGGAGGGAGGGCGACTGAAGAGCTTCAATGACCTGGCCTCCTCAATCTAGCTGTGCATACATGCCAGAAGGGCAGTATAAGACCTATCAACACTTCATCCAATGTCAATGTGATGAAGCTCAGTTTATGAGAGATGCCATTTTGTAGAGGAAAAGGCCCAGGAGGTTTTTGGGTGATTCTGATGATCACCTAGATAAGGAGTTTACAAACACTAAGGGACCGGATAATAAGTATCTTGGGCCTTGGTGGGGTATCCTCCATTGCAATTACTCAGCTCTTCCCTCAAAGCATGAAACAGGTAATACATACATGAATGATCATGGCTATATTTCAGTAAAAATTTAAAAACACACACACAACCACAATGCTGAGCAGGTTAAATCTGGGCGGTGGGCGGTGGTTTGCCAATCGCTTCCCCAGGTTTCAAATCACTGATAGTATCTTTTTTTAATCATCATGTTAGGGTCAGCCGGTGGCATGGTGGACACAGTAGCTGGATCACATGGACAACTTCATGGTTTGAGTCACCAATCTAGAGGCTTGAAAAACATGAGACATGTGCATGCATGCTCAAAATCCCGAGAGGAAAATGGAAGAGAAGGGATGGAGTTGTCACCATTGGGGAAGGGGGTTGATTTCTCACTTTCTCTTCCCTCCTCCTCCATGAGCTTACATGTCCTGTAATAAAAGCTAAAAAATTAAATAAATAAATAATTTTAAAAAATTATCACGTCAGACTATTCTTAGGATCACTCTTCCCAAGGAATATTTATCCCTGTGATAAATTGAAACAAAATCATAATTCTATAAAAATGTAAGGTCAGCCTCCCCACACATGTGAACCATGGCACAACACACTGGTCTCAGGTCTCTTTGGCCCAGTTTCAGTGGTGTAGGTGGTAGCACATATTGTAGTGCTGGAAGCCACATGGCCAATCCTGCATCTGGATCCTGAACCAACCTGACATATTTGATGCGCATGGCCTCAAGCCCTTGAACAGCTGTAGGGCTGGGGAGGAGACTGCAGCATGTTAAGACTATAGGTGGTTCCTGTCTCTCTCTTGCACACACACATGTTCTCTCTCATGAACAAACAAATAAATATATGAGGCTCTTTTGTTATTTTTTGTTTATCAGAGAAGTTCTCATTTCAGGAAGAGATGGGTATAAAAACAATGACTGCAATACACTCACTAAGATAATCTAGTCTTTACCAAGCTACTTTCCAAAAACAGAAACTTTAAGAGCAAAGATTCTTTAAAAAGGAAGCAAAAGAAAAAAAAAAAAAAACCCACATACACAAAAAAAACAGCCAAGAAATGCTTTGGCTCGGAGCAGGTACATCAGATTCTAATGAGGCATCCCAGACCCAAGACATTTAGAGCTGCTTCCAAGTACTTCTTTAAATGGTGGAATTCTCTACCTTTGAAAGCACTATACTGGAAAAATCACCTCCTTTCTAATATTCAGCTTCTAAAGAAGCATTTTACTAGTTTACACAGGTCAAGAAAACAGCATCCCCACATTACTGAAGGGCATCACACACATCGTGCCTGAGAGGGTCCAGTCACATATGAAGAAAGAAATGGCACTAAAATGTAAGGATACACACATGGGTCTTGCTCTGGAAATAGACAAACCATCCCGAAAGAGAAATATTTAAATGCAATCATTTAGAGAAAATTGTTGAAAGTAAAAAGTCAAATTAAGACGGTGCATTTTCACTCTGAAGTACTAATAACATGCAGTGCTAGTAACACCTTTCTCTCAAACTCCATTACATGATAATAGTTGGACTCTATGTCATTTCTGATGAGACCATCCTGTTCTTCATTTAGATAAAACTAGATGCTTTCAATTTGCTGTTCGTATCTAAGATATATAAAATAATACTTTGTCAATATATTTGACATTTCTGAGGCTGGCTTTTCATATATTTAAAAGGATAGAAAAATTAACAGAAAATCAAGATCAAAGAGAAAGATGGCTAAAATTTGCTTGTAACTATGAAAAGCCAAATCCCTACCACAAGGGGGAAGGGAAAACTGTGCCACTTTGTTCTAAACATATCTTGCCCCTTTTAAGTATGAGAAAACATCCTCCAAATATTCATTGCACACATCGAAATCTAACAAGTTAAATAGGATGGTGCAATTCGCCCTTTTTTGTAAGGCCTCACTGATAAGATTTAAAACATATGTACCAAACATTAGTCATCCATAATTAGGATAAAGCTGGACAAATTAACAGGATTAGAAGAGAATAATCAAGAAATTAATCAAGGATAGTAGTAGAAATGGAAGATACAGGAACATGACAGTTTTGTCAAAGAAAACTGAACAAAAAAGCTTTAAGAAAATGGTCTGGTAAGATAAAGATAAAAAGGTATAAGTTCACTTCCAACAGTTTATTTAGGAATTACGGGGGAGGGGGGAATCTACAGAAGAATACCTGAAATAACAGATGCCAGTAAAATGAGTCACATTGGTTGTTACCTTTCAGACTACATTATTTTACTTAAAACTGGGACTGCTAAGTGCAGGCCCCACACCACCTCTAACACACCACAGGGCCACAGTTGAGTAGTGTATGGGCACGCCTCTGCATGAAACATGTGGCCTTGTGATGGAAACGGTAACTGAATGCGCTCCTGACTTGGCAGAACTCGTCAAAGATTCATGACTCAGGAAGCTCTCCTCCAGACTGTCTAGAGAGCAAAACGAGCTCTGGACCCTGTGCTGGAGTAACAGGCCAGAACAGCAGGGCTCTTGTCTTCTGCGCATCGTTAACAGCTGAAGGCTTTTCTTTTTAACACCCCCACGCTGATATTTTAAGCATGTTTATAAAAATCATACAGATTGTGTAAAAATTTTAACATGATAGTAAGATTTATAAAATCTATTTTACAGGGAAAAATAACTAAACCATCACTCTAGAGTTCAATTATTTATATCTTTAGAAAATGTACAGTAACTAAAACAAGCTGGTATGTGCTGTCTACCTAATTCACATTGACATTCCAGAAAGGTACTAGCCAAAGGGGAAAAAGCCTATTAGTCTAACTAAACTCTCCTGCTCTGAACTATGGTTCTGCACATGGTTTTCTTTGCATTTAGAAGAATATCTCGTGATTTGAATGTGAAACATATAATACAGGTTGTGTACACTATCTTTAATAAATTAACATGATGCCCAACAAGAAAACCAAACTTATTTATCAAAAATCTAAGGTTTTCAACAGTATATACTGATCTAATAATTAGTTGATCCATATTTTCTCTGTAAGTCAATATAGACAATACAGTTTAGCATAAACCATAGGACAATCAACCTCCAC